AAAGATATAAGACACAAATATTTTTACATGGAAATCCTGGAAAGGGAAAAATCACGGGGTCATGCCCAGTTGAGAGAATTCCACTAGTATTTACTTGAGGTACAAGATGCTAGCTCGTCCTTCAAATTTATGACGATCAGATTACAATGATTGAAATCTAGTTACAAACAAGAATTTGAGATTCAATGATGTTGTGTATTTGAGCTGAATCCTAGAGTCACTTGGAGATCAGACAGAATTTCAGCATCACTTGGAGATCAGACGGAGTTTTGGCGTCACTTAGAAGTCAGGCGTAACTTTGGCGTCACTTGAAAGTCAAATGCAACTTTGGCGTCACTTAAAAGTAGGGCGGAACTCCGGTGTCACTTGGAAGTCGGGCAGAATTTCGGCGTCACTTGAAAGTCGGGCGGAACTTCGGCAGTGGACGAGGAGGAGCTTTATCCCTCCTCTTCTCTTCTTCTTCTTCTTCTCTTCTCCTCTTGCTTGGGTCCCCTCTTAAGAGAAATGAGAGGCTATTTATAGTTTTTTAATGATGGCATGACCCGTAAATAGGAGGAGGATCAAAGACAAATGGGGAGTGGTTTGGATGGACAACCGATATTGAATCCCTTGATTATAGACCATTCGTCAGACATTTGAAGGTCTTAATGATATCGAAATTTGATGATCCTTAGGCTCATTGGATTCATCTCGTCGATCCGCTCGATTCAACTATAAGCATGTCATGTTTGTAAAACGTTTGGTAATCCAAGTTGTGGTTTGAACCTTCCAACAACGCTTCAAGTCTTTGTTTTAGACACATTTGAGCTCGGATTGAGTTGAATTTTGTGTCATTGGGTTTGTATTTTTGAGACGCTCAGTTCAACTATAAATTTGCTGAAATATGAGCTCAGATGATCCCAATTTTAACTTTTGAAGCTTCCAGCCTAACTTTGTCTCGATATTCGTGCATGATCAAGATAATTTTTTGATGATATATCAAAACCTAAGAATGGAACAATAATTTTAATAACATTTGTACATATATACAACATGATATATTGACACACATATTATGTTATAATAAAATTATACATATTTTTTTAAATTTAGATTGTATCGAATATAAATGAGATTCGTTCAATCCAATAGTAGCTTATATACAACTATTTTCATATATAAATTCAATATAGACTCATTCGTATAGTTTTTTTTTATTTTTCCAGAATACCAAACTACACAAGATAAATTTGTGGTTTTTTAATATTTCATCCTTTCATTGATGGAAGCACTACAGAACATAATTGTTATTTTCTCCTGCTGCACATAGAAAATAAAACTTTTATTTCAAGCAAGGTTTCTCAATATACTTTGATTATAGAATTGAATATTTCTTAGTTGCAATATTGGAATAGAGAACGAATACATAAAAATAATACTTTTAAAATCATAACTGTTGTCTTCTACATGCTTTTAAAATCATAACATGCTTTTAAAATTATAGCAAAGTGTGAGAGATACAATAAGATGTTGACCTCAACTTATGTGGCATGGTTAATGCCAGAAAATGAGATGCTAATCGATATTGATAAAAAAGATATCACTCAGAATGAAGATCGAATTGTCTTAATCAGGATGAAAGTATTAAAGCTTTGTTCGATTACAAAGTGGATCATATTTTTGGCACTGAATACCCCTTAGGATATGACACCTGATCATACTCAGCAAGATATGGGCGCCCTTTACTTACAAACTTTTCTGCTTGCTTAGATGCAATAACAGTCTTGATTTTCTCAGTAATGAGACTCTCAAGTTTATTAACTATCACTGGTTCAGATGAACTTGGAGCATATTGAGGAGTGGATTAGAGAGGAGCTGAATTGATTTTAGATTTTTCTTTGGGGACATCTTGTACTCTAGATGCTTGTAGCATTGTGCTAACTGGAGGATTTACTGGCGCACTACTAAACACTTGTTGATTGGAAGGTTGAACCAGTATAGGAATTAACCATAGGTGCTTGCGCCTATGGGAAACCTAGAACCAGATTATAGTCTTTATAAAATGAGGGCGAAATCTCTGGGTAGTGTCTTATCTACAAACTCATCTGCCTTCTAAAAATTTGACCCGGAACATCGTTAAAACTCTCCTATGCAGGGGAGGTCTGGGCGCGAATTTTTGGAGCCCACATAAGGTTATAAAAATTATAATCATAATATGATAAATGTTAGAGATAACAAATACAAGAAATATGGCACTACACTAGTAACGTCATGAATACTAACAATATTAAAAAAATATAAAAAACAAAATTGATGGCTTACCTAGAGCTAACACACATGAGCTCAATGACGACGAATTAGATTTTTGTAGTGTTGCTTGCAAAATTAGGGTCTGTTTGGATGCAGGATTTAGGTGAGATTTAGGCACGATTTGAGTTAAATCCTGTCAAATGCAAAAATAAATAAAAAAGTAAAAGCAAGCTGCGAAGTACGCGGGAAAAATTCTCATAAAAAATGGTATGAACTGAGCGCAATACTACTAGCCTTCAAAACATCAATAAGAATCATCAGAAATTAAGAAACCTTCTATAATACAGTAAAACTATAAGGGGAATGATAATGACATAAAATGTTGTATAAAAAAATCAAATAAAACATAGAAAGAAAACTTAGATCCAAATAAATTCATTAACATTAAGCATAAAGTATCGCGATTGAGAAGGTCCAGTGCTAATCATCAGAGATCACTAGTTAAAAATAAATACCAATAAAAATTAAAAATCAAGAACCCTGGCTTTCTCTAGTCGTAGGGATCCAAAACAAGCAGCAATGGAAAAGAAATATCAAACCCATTAATAAATAAATAGTAAAATACAAAGTTAAATCAATCGATTAGCATCCTAAGCTAGATAACAATTTCTTGTATGCACAAATTCTTAGAATTACTATGTACATTCACTCAATAAACAAACCAACAATATCACATTTTTGAGGTATCCCATGAACAGTGGCGGCTAAAACAAAATCATTGACAGAGAAAACTTACGAAACAATTGTGAAGGGTGAGTAGAGAGGATGAACAGCCTTGGAGATGAAGTTGGACAGAGTAAAATTGAGGGGAATGACCAATTTGAAGAGTCATTTGAGTAGCAAACAGGAAAGGGCTTTCGCGTGAGAATGGACGCGACAAAGAGAATTTGTATAATTTGATGAAGCACATATCAGAACATTAAAGTAGGGCTTTCTCTACCAGAATTTTCACCTGAAAAAACTGACAGTTTACTTAATATCGGAGGTATTTTCTGTCAGAAATTCCATCGAAGAATGGTACACCAATTTCCATCATCAAACCCACCGGTATTTTAGCCGCTATTTCTGAAGACCTATTAACCACAAAAGAAGGCATTTTTCCTGTAGTGTTTGAAGCCTTGATTTACGCTCCATATGCATCATAATATTTGTGAAAATACGCCTTACATCTTGATACACATGAGAAATAAATTTTCTTATAACTATTCCTTGATAATCCATATTTGAGTGTAAACTCATGTTGGATTTGTGTAGCAAACATCTTTGTTGAGTGTTAAAATTTTGCATAGTGAGATGATTTTACATTCTAATTTTGCATAAAAATCTTATACACACAAATAAAATAGAGGAAAGCTAGAGACACTAGATAAAAAATCACGAGGCTTGGTCTATTTAGAAAGATACACTACATAAGTAAAACTACAAATGTTTGCTTTTCTCCTCAATTTGATTTAACATGATTACAAAGTACTAAACTCAAGCTTAGTCTAATGTAGTTGTAGTAGAGATTGTATCAAAGATAGCGGATGGATGATGACAACAGTCTAATTAAGTTTATTTGGGCCATAACTATTGACTGATAACAGTCGAGCAATGCTTGGATAAGGGTCAGACGATCGTTGGTGAATGAAATGGTTGCAGTTGGGCGATTATAGTCTGATGATGGCATTTGGATGATGATGGTAGTTGACAATGACAATGATGCTTGAAGTGATTGATTTAAGCTTACTTAGACTCAGATCAAACTCTTTTAATGCTGTTAGACTTATCTCGTTGAAATGTTTATTTTGAATATAAGTTTGCAGACATTGGGGTTCAAATGATCATTAATTTAAATTCTAAAAATTTTCAATTTAAATTACATTAAAATTCTTTCTTGATCAAATGATTCTTATAACGACACATTAATTATTATTTGAATATTATTGCCATCAAAGAACATGTCATGAATCTTAACTACAGCTTAGTTTCAAGAGACAAATGGCCACCACCCCAAACACATAAATAAAAAAAATAAAATAAAATCATAAACCCTAAACAAATATTTCTTCGAATATTAATAATATTACAAAAAAAACATTAATTTTTATGGGTAATTTCTGTTCTTTAATTTTTAAAAGTATTTATTAAATGGACTACTTATATTCAGAGCTAGTCCCATCAGTATCTCCAGAGCTAACATGTAGAATGAAAATGATCTGCAATAATCTGTAGTAGCATGCAACGAGAGCTCTTAATTGACAGCAAATCCTGCGGTGGCAATGAATTGTTGCAGGCTTTGCACGAATGGTCTAAATGCATTTAATTTGTAGGGCTATCTGTATGTTTATCTTAATTTCAAAGAAAAAATAATAATATTCAAATAACGCATAGGCTTCGTTTGGGACGACTTTCTTACTGTTTTCTGAAGCAACTTTTTAGTACAAATTTTTTTTTTTTTAATTTAAGAAAATTTTGTACTAAAAAGCTAAATAAGTCATCCCTTAGGCTTCTTTTGGGACATCTTTTTTGCTGCTTTCTAAAACAATATTTTAGTACAAAATTTTCTTAAATTAAAGATTTTTATACTAAAAAAGTTATTTTATAAAGCAGTACGAAAGCTGTCCCAAACGAAACCTTAGTGTGCTCTGAGACCCCAATCTAATAATTTTTTTTTAAATTATCTCTCAATAATTTGAGGAGCTATGCTCCTTTTCTTCCAAGCTCAAAACTGACTTGAACTGAAATAGATATTTCTTTCTGCAAACAAATGCATGCAATTGCAGCACTGATGTAGATTTCTGATAACAGGTGAATGTAGATTTCTGATGCTAAACTCTCATCATGAATGGATTATATTCAGCTTGTGCTTTATTAGATCCAATACTTGATAATTCCTTACAGTTATTAGCATTCAATTTAAGTGTTTTCTTGATCCGCTCTTCTTCTAATCTGGACCAGGTTTTACATCATTCTGATTCAGCTTATGCTACTATTTTAATCATTCAAACTTCTGCATGTTACCATAGATTTTATGATTCCAGCCACACTTTGAAGATCTTAATGCACTGGATTCTCTCTACATGGTAGTATATAATACTGTATAAACTTCAGCTAACCACACATAAAAGCTTTCCTGCAATTGCTTCGCTTTTGCTGTAATCCATGACCAGGTTTCCTCTGTAAATCAATAGATCAAAAGAAAGCTACATTTATTGACTAAACAATATTTTCTTCCAAAAAACTGAGCTTATTATAATTTACCACTCTATCAGCTCTATCTTTCAGTGGCCTCAACCTTGGACCTATATAAATACATAAAACATTAGCAAAAGCCTATAACAGCTATATTCGTTGGTTTAAGGCTTTGTTTGGGACGACTTTCTTCTTGCATTCTAAAACAGATTTCTGATACAAAAATTTCTTGAATTTGAAATTTTGTACAAGAAAGCCATTTTAAAAAGCAATACAAAAGCTGTCCCAAACAAAGCCTAAATTTGAACAGTTCAATAGATACCTGAGCGAGAGGATCTCGGTGGAGGCCAAAATGAATGTGTTTCTGGCCCTTTGTAGTCGATCTCATATATCTCTGCGCCTTTCACTGCCATATCAAGCAAATCATCAATATAAACTAGCATTGTTCATGACTATATGGTTGCCATGTGAGTGATTAGTTATGCATGAAAGTAATTTAGTAAGTTTATTAAAAGCTGCAGCAAAGAAGTGTGAAGAGTTTTCAGTACTCAAAACCTTGACATTTTATGGAGTTGGCAGCCGCAAGAACAAGTAGAGCAATGAACATAGCTTTGAGAAGAGAAGATGATCTCTGTACCATATTTTAGTCTTAAGAAAACCCAAATTTCTTAAGAACTTATGAGAAGTAGTGCTGTGCTGGAAGTTCAGATTTGAAGCCCTTTTTAATCAGTCTTAACATTGAAGCCTTTCGCTATCAGAACAGCAAGGCTGGGTTGGCAAAGGAGACAGCCAGCAAGCACTATTTATTGATGTAGGCAGCTTCTTGCCCACACCCCCACATCCCCCATGCCCAATTCCGGACCCAGAAGGTAGACAGTGGGGTTGTCATATCTATGCATATAAATTAGATTTTTTTTCTAATAGGAGGAGAATATGAATTTTTTGCTAATTAAAATTTGAATTTATGGACTGCAAATTAAAAATCAATTTTTTTTTTTATTTTTTTGGTATCAATAAAGTTAGTGGCATGCATATATTCAAGAATTGCCAAAGATGGCCTTATCATTTTTATGTTGTGAGAGTTTCAAGTGATTGTATGGAAATATGTTGTGAGAGTTTATTACATATATTGGATGATTTTGATTGATAAAATATATAGAGCTAAATATAATTTAAAAATGTTATTCGATCATCGTTAAAATATTCTTTTTTGCTTGATGAATGATTAGATTATCATGAAAATTGATAAAATCCTAATCTCATATAATTTTTTTGAGTATATTGTTTACTCATACATGCTCATATAGGCAACTTAGATATTTGAACAAATTATTGTCAAGAAGCTTGATCAATGGGAGTAGACGATGGAAATAAACACTAGCCCAAAGGAAGCTTTGTCTTATAGAGTAGTCCCTAACACCAACCTGTTGACAAGGAACCACTCACCTTTGTGGAAATCACAACATGCAGACTCCCCCTAAATGATCAAATCATGGATGTAAAGACCCTCAGCGGGTTCCTCTAAAGGACTAGCAAAAAGAGTCTTTGCTTTGAAGTACACTTTCCCCAACATAACTTACTTTCCCACAACATTTGTCCGCAAGCATTGCCAAACATCTATTGCATATGTTCATAATCAAGCTGCAAGAAGTGCACACCCATGAAGCCTACGTCCATGAATTTAATGACTGAAATCATTCCTGACTTATATCCTCTTCCACTTAGAGGCTCGTCCCTCATTCCTAGGGCCAGCTCTCGTTCCTAGGGACTTGTTCATCATTTCTAAGGACTCACCGTCATAGAATCATTCTACATACTAGGTCCCAAAGTCTCAACCAAGTCACTCTCCCCAAAAATTTTCCTAAGATACTTGCATGAGAGAAGCAGGCCACGCTAGAGAAAAGGGTCTACATGTACTTCATCCAACTCATCCATTGTTGCCCTCATTTTTGAATGAGGCTGAATTCATTCCATTATAGCTTAGTATTTTCACTTAGGTTTCTTACCTTAGGGTAGATTCCTTCCCTATAGGATCCTCTTAGGTGGATGTTCAAGGACTTAGCTATGACTAGTTCTATAAAACCCAAAACCTTAATTTATCTTTCCATAGAAGCCTTAGGGTCCTTAAGTTAAACTAACCTTATTTTGTCTTTAAAAGAACTTAAAGACTCTGTTAAACCTTTGAAACATCATTTGAAACATTTTAACTATTCACAAATGTGCTTGTGAAGGGATAAAGTCAATCCAATACCCAAAACCCAAGTAAATTCATAGGTGGGCCCCATGGGCCTAATTTGACTATCCATGATTCAATTAGCCTTTAGATTGACGCATTAATCTCTTGGGAACCTTAGAATACTCATTAGTGACCCTAGATAAGTAGTGGATCCCATAAGATCAACCTTAAGTCATACCCCAAAAATATCCAAAATTACCTAAATGCCATAAACTCTAGATCAAAAGGCAAAGCAGGCATGAGTTAAGAGTTAGAAGAGAGTGATGAGAAAAGAAATGCGTAGGAGAGAAAATCCAAAAGGGTGAACAAGATCTCATCTATATCTTCATCATTATGGAAAGATCTATCTTCGCACTATCGTTGTGCTAAGATCATAATAAGGACTTATTCGTGCACCCTAAGTAAATCTTGAAATTATCCTTAAATCACAAATAAATAGTCATCTTTGACTCACTCCTCATAGAGTTTCCCTTCACTCACCCAATGAAGGTTTTTCAAAACCAATTGACAAATAGTTGCTCCTAAAATAGAAATGCAGACTCATATTTAAAAAAAAAAAAAACAAGACACTTATTGTATACAGAACATCTAATTACAATGGTGAGAAAGTATATTAGAAGATAAAAAGTGAGCAACTCACCAAAAGAGTAATCAAACACATAAAAGAGTATCACCTACGAGGATTTCTGAACAATTCACCATGGGGCTTACACACACTGTTAGGTTCTCTAAAGTTGGTTTAATTTGCGTTTGTGTAAGCCCTAATTTATGCAAGAACATGTGTCATGTCAAGTAATAAAGTGATAAGAAGAGTATTGCCCATTGGGATTCCTAAAATTTTATAGATTTATTTTAGTACTTCCTATTAAACTAGTATGTTTATAAAAGTTAAAGTGATTTTATAGCCTATTGCTAAGCAGAGTCAAAGAAAGCATAAAAAAACTCTCTAGCCTACTCATGAAAACTAGGATGTGCAAATTTCAAATAAGAAGCTACAAATGCATAAAGTAAATTCAGTATTTATAAAAGTTTTGAACCTATTATGTTTAAAAATATTGCATTAGAGTGATTTTCTACCTATTATCAATATGAATCAGGGCATAAGTACTCCTTATTTCCGTCGAGCTTGTTGGAGTGTTAGCTAGGATTCCTCCTTATTATATTTCTACTATATCTTTAAGATCCTATAATTCTAACCATCATATGCCAATATTATGGCTTGATTACATTTTAAAACTCATAATTATTTGTCTACTCCTCCATCGAGACCGTATATTACATAGGTTTTAAGTTTTTAGGCCTTAAAATAAACTAAATAAAGCTTCAAGGAATTAAAAACATTATGAATACTATAAAGATTAAACATATTTTATGCAATACATGGATTTTAAATAATCGTAGATTTAGAATAAAGGCTTAGTTACACATAGAGGCAATTTTACACAACAGATATTTTATTTCACTTTACATAATAACAATTTACAAATTATAAAAAAAGATAAATAATAGAAGAATGGTTAGAAATACCCTAGATCTATGGTACACACTCCTTTGCACTTCTCCACTTTGATCTATACCAATACAATACTCCAAATAAGTATACAAGAGACACCCCCTCTTAAGAACAACCCCTCACACTCTCTAACTTACACACATACGCATGACTCAACAATGTGCCATCCCTTAATTACATAAACACTAAGGTTACTATTTATACTTTTACAAAATAACTAAATTGGCTCCACAATGCTAGTTTGGTGGAGCTATGATGCTATTGAAATGGCATATCGATTCACCATTCATCGCATTAGTTCATTGGTTCAACCTTCTCTTGCCATAGAGTTGGGCAATTTGGTGCCGCAGCAATCCATTTGGCATTGTGGTGCTTCCTAGAAAGTGCTTCCGTATTAAGCTCTCCATAAAATTTTTTTTTAGTGCTCTTTTTTGCAGTGCTGAAGGGCTGGCATTGCGACACCAAGTTTGTGGCACTACAACACTAGTTCAGTTTTTATGATTTTTACCTATTTTTTGCTCAAAATATAAGAAAAAACACTACATAAATTCTTCTATTACCGGCGGCTATTACCGTCGATTAACTAATGATTTCTGACAATTTTATAAAACATCGGCGGTTTTTTGGCAGTTCAACAACAGTCGGTAAAAACTGCTTAGGAAACAGTTTTCAACGGCCAATTTTCGGCTGTTTTAGTAACCGGCGGCTTTCTGGCTGCCGGTAATTTCTGGCGGTTATAACGCCAGTACATCAAAAGTTAGTTAATGGCAGCGTATCGGCTATCAAAATTGTCGGTATAACTGGCGGCTAAATTGCTGGAACATCGACGGATGACAGCCAGCGATTGCCGGTTAATTACCGGCGGTTTATCGGCTATTAGAATCGCTGGAAGTACTGGCGGCTAAACTGCCGGCTTATCATCGGATAACTGCCGGTAAGTACTGGCGGCTTTAGTTAAATTCTGGCGGCTTTTAAAAGTCATCCGGTATTGATGTTTCTTGCGGCCAAACAGGCGATTGGCCGCCGAAAACCTGTAGCATCTGAAAAAAAAAATGACAACCTCCCCTCCAATTTACTAAATTTTACCCTAAAGTCTAAACCTGCATAAAAAAGATAACAAAGCTCTGACAAATATGGGCAACACACCACTATAATCAGTCACAACTATTATAATTTCTACAATACTCATCAAAATAAATAAACTCATCAAACAAAAGAAGAGTACTAATGTTTAAACTCAACAAATAAAATCATTGATTACACAGAACAAGTTCATCAAACCAATTATTTAAACCAAATAAGTTCACACATAAGTTCAACAAACAAATAAGAGTACTAATCATCCTCCATGTCCTCACTGTCTGGTGATGCATATGGCTGCCCTTACTCTTTCTTCTTTTGATTTTCATCTCTATAAGATCGTAGCTCTGCTTGTATCTCATTTTGAACATTTCTCATCTCTTCTATCTCTCTTGTCAGCACTGTAACCCTTTGAGTTACACTTTCTTCAGCTCCACTTGGATTACAAAATGCTGAGGTGGATGAATTGCCCTCATAAGCATAGCCTTACGAACCCAAGCAATATACCCTCCCCCTCTACCTTCCTCCAACAACATCTGACCATATATGATACTCAGAATACTGGGTCGATCCTGAAGATGATCCCTCACCAATAGACTGATGACTTTCTCGAGCTCGTATAAAATCATCCTACGAGAATAAATCCATAAAATATATTAATTTTAGAATAAGTTTTTTTTATATTAAATTTCTATTGCAAAACTCAAAAAAATTATACTCATGTGAGCTTTTTTAGCTTTTTCATCTACCCACTGATGGTCAGCTTGATGTTTGTGAGTCCTCATATGTAACTCCAGTTGTGTGGGCTCTCGGTCAAGATTTTTTTTTTGAAAATAAAAGATATATTTAAAATAATATACAAATATT